CTAGGAGAGGCTGGGACGAGCAGTGTGCAGCCATCCTGGCCGAGACGAAGCGACTCCGCCGCGACCACAGCGAGCGACAGACAGAGGAGAGCTGGGAGGCATACAGAACAGCACGCAACAGGAAAGGCCGCATCATAAAGAAAGCTCTCCAACAAGCACATCGCGAAGCAGTCGAAATAGCGGCTGAGTCACCTAGATCGCTGTGGAAGATCGCCAAATGGGCCCGGAACAGACAGAGCCAGCCGCCGACCGTTACGCCGGAAATCAAGAAACCCAACAAGTCTCAGGTCGCCACAACGCCTGAGGAGAAAGCAGCACTCTTCAAAGAGACCTTCTTCCCCCCGCCGCCAGAGGCAAATCTCGAAGACATCGACAACGCATCGTACAGCAACCAGATCGGCCTGCCGCCAGTATCAGAAAGCGAAGTAGAAGACGCCATCCAGGAAGCAGCACCGCTGAAGGCCCCGGGCCCCGACGGCGTCACGAACCTGGCACTTCAAGTGGCGAGACCTTGGATCACGCCACATCTCGTCCGCATACTCAACCAGAGCCTCCGACTAGGATATTGTCCACAACACTTCAGAAAGTCCACCACGGTGGTACTCAGGAAGCCAGGCAAAGACAACTACACAGTGCCCAAAGCATACAGGCCTATAGCCCTCCTCAACATGGTGGGCAAGATCATGGATGCCGTCATAGCGAGGAGACTAAGCTACCTTGCCGAAACACACGGATTGCTGCCAGATAGCCACATGGGCGGGAGAAGACGTCGGTCGACGGAACACGCACTGGACCAAATCGTGGATAGGATATACGAAGCCTGGGGTTCAGGACAGGGAATGGTAGCAAGCCTACTTCTCCTGGACGTGTCAGGCGCCTTCGATAACGTTTCGCACCGCCGAATCCTGCACAACCTGCGGAAGAGGCGGATCGACGAAGCGACGGTGCGTTGGGTTGCCAGTTTCCTTGGATGCCGAGAGACGGACATCCACGTGGACGGATTCCGATCCGAGACCTACAGACTCGACACCGGCATCCCACAAGGGTCGCCCCTTTCGCCGATACTCTACCTCTTCTACAATGCGGATCTCTTGGACAGCTGCAATGAGACCGGAGACATGATCGCCACCGGCTTCATCGACGACGTAGCGATCCTTGCCGTGGGAGACAGCACGGAGGAAACCTGCCAGAAGCTCCAAGAAGCGCTTCGGAAAGCCGAGACGTGGGCTCTCACTCACGCGTCCGTCTTCGCGCCCGAAAAGTTCCAGCTTACCCACTTCACACGAGCAAAAACCAGAATCGACACAGACAAAACACTCCACA